ACCCCGCCGCCTGCGTGTCCCCCGGCCACTGGAGGAGCTGTACGAGACCTACCTGCAGGAGCTGGCTGGGGACCTCGGGAACATCAGCACCCTCGAGGTAGGGCAGGGGGGCCCCAGCCCCCTGCTGCACACTAGGAAAAGCACGTCCCTGCCCAAGATCCCGCAGGCAAGTGGCACAGAGAGCTCGCCAGACTGGGACCAGGAGCACGTGTGGGCACAGAGCCACGAGCACCCCACACCACCGTGGCAGGGGACCTGCTGTGACACCATGTGCCCCGTGGGGGACAGACACAGGTGGGTGTCCACCATCCCCCACTTGCACGGGGCTGCTGCTGTGGCAGAGGGTAAAGAGCATCCCCTTCCCAGCAGCAGCACCCTAATCCCCGTGCTCAAGAAGCCCCCACAGTGCCACCGTGCCACAGAGCACTGGAAGGTGTCGAGCAGCACCAAGAGCATCATGGCTAAGGCTGCCCAGCGCTGGTCCTACATCCCAGGGGGCATCCACCAGAGCCCACCAGAGCCCACAGAGGAGCAGCAAGGCCACAGGCTGTGGCCAGCGGGCCGGGGGGGGGGGGCCAGCCACACCCCCAGGTGCCTGGTGGCGGGCGCACAAGAAGGATGGTGGAGAGCCAGGGAAGAGGGGGGCATCACCAAGGGGCAGAAGGACATTTAGGAGGTCACAGTCCTTCAAGGTCACCAGCTGCGAGGTAGGTGCAGGCAGGGGGACAGGGCAGGAAGGCCACCTCCAGCTCCCCTTGCCATTCCTTTGCCAGCCATGGAGGTGTCAGCACCCTACAGCATGCGTGTCCCCCACGCATCACCATGCTCATGGACACTCTCTCTGGCAGCTGGTGGCCCCCAGAATCCCCCCACCATCGTCCAAAAAACTGCAGAGCCCATCCGAGCACGCCATGCCAGCAGGGATGGACCCCCCCACAGACCTGTGTGGAGTGAAGCCCCCGCAGAGCCTGGTGAGCCCCTGGCCAGGGACAGGGTGCAGGGACCACTGTCACCTGGGGCTGCAGCCAAAGTGCCCCTTCCCCACGTGCTGGGATCCCATCTCTCCCCCTCCAGCTCCTGGCCATCCCCAGGCAGGGCCAGCGCCCACGGTTTGGCAGCATCACCAGGAAGGGAGCCAGAGCCCCCAGCAAGGGGGGATGGAGTCAGCAGTACTGAGCCCAGCACCTGCCAGACCCTGTGCCAAGCCCGCGGGCTGAGCGCCCATCCTGGCAGCCCCAGCACCGCATGGCATCCCCCGTGCCAGGGGCTGCCCACAGGACCCTGTCCCTGTGCAGCCCATCTGATGCCAACCCTACCAGGGCCACAGCTGGGGGAGAGGACTCAGCCCTCCCAGTGCCAAACCCACCCCAAGGCAGGGACCCAAATCCCGAGGGACCGACACGGTGACCCCGGATGGAGCCACACAGCTGCTCAGTACCTGGGGATGCTGCCAGCTACACAGCACCACTGGTGGAGCCGCCCAGGCATCGGGGTTTGTCCTTCCAAGGGGTTACATTAAAAGCAGATGTGATGAGTGATGTGGGTGCTGTGCACAGGGACAGGGAACCCTCCAAAGACCCCCCATACTCCCCACACTCATTTTCTGCTTTTATTAGGCAGGGGGTGGGAGTGCCCGGGCAGGAATGGGGCAGAGCTGGACGTGAGTGGGGACGGTGTTCCCCAAACTTCCTATGCTGGGGGGTGCAGCCAGGGCACCCGCCCTAGCCTGGGCATGCAACTGAGTCACCCCTGGGAGCTGCTGCCACCCCAGGGCCAGCAGCTGGACCCAGCACCATGACACAGAGGGAGGATGTAAGGTGGTATCATAGTAAAGAACGAGCTGTCCCTGTCCCCATCCCCTCGCCTGTGGGGGTTTGTGAGCCCAGGGTGTGCCCACAGCAGTGGGCTGCACATTCCACCTCCTGCACCACTCCTGTGGGGGTGGGAGATTCCAGTGTCCCATGTCCCCAGCTCCCTGCAGGCACCCCAGGAACAGGTGTGGGGATCAGATGTGACAAGGGGACAATCAGGGAAGGGTGGGCAGCAGAGAGCAGCCCAGTGTGGGGACCTCCATCTACCTAGGAGCAGGAGGACCAAGCACAGACCCCCCCTCTAGGGCTGGGGCCAATCCAGCCACAGGCCCTGGCTCTGCCTGGTTACTTCTTCACCTTGATGAGGGAGTGGTAGACGGGCTTGATGATGATGTGGAGGTGCAGGGAGTTGTCGATGAGGTACTCGGAGGTGCGCTTCTGCAGGTCCGCCTGGGCCAGGAAGTCGGTGGTCTCATCCGAGCTCTGGTGGAAGCCGTAGACGTGCTTCACCAGGACGCGTCCCTGCTGCCGCCCGCCCACCAGCACCGTCTTCTGGCAGATGACGCCGGCCAAG